TTTTTCTAAAACTCATAACTAAACAAATTTTCTTACTTCACGTGTCAAATCAAACTTCCAAAACTCAATTCTACACTCAATTCAACACTCTCTTCAAAAATCATAACCAAACAAATTTTCTACACTCAAATCATAATTCCACAACTCACAAACTCAAAATACAACTCATACTTTCAAATCATATTTACAAAACTCTACCAAACGCAATCTTAAATATTTTTGAAAAATAAATAAATCAATCAAAAGTTTCTCTAATATGTAACCCGCTGGTCAATTAGGATTGATTTCAAAATTTATTTTTTTATAAAATAATAAAGAGAATGCAATTGATTTCTGTAGTTCATTTTTGAAAAATGATTTAGACCTCTAAAAAGAGAGTTTTAATAGAGCATTAATTTGTCTTTTTCTTCTCCATATTTTGTCTTTTACCTCACTATTTTTTTATTATTTATTTATTTATTTATTTTTATGTGGCCAGCTCATTATTAGAGCTCTGCAGCACTGCTCTTCATTTTTAATAGTTTTTTTTAAACTGATAGCTCGTTTGGAAAATTGCATTCTCTCTCAACAGCAGCTTAATCAAACTTTTCCCAACGAATAAATAAATTAATCAATCAAAAGTTTCTTTAAGATGTAACCAGCTGGTCAATTAGGGCTCATTTCAAATTTTATTTTTTTTATAAAATATTTTATAAAATAACAGAGAGAATGCAATTGATTTCTGTAGTGCATTTAGTATTTTTTTAAACTAATAGCTCATTTGGAAAGTTGAGGTTTGGGATTTTTTTTAGTTAAAATAGTCAAAAAATAAATATATAAAATATCATATTCAACTCGTAATCATTACCTTCTTTCTCTTACAAAAAATCAAAAAAGTCAAAAAAATTCTTCCCAAACGAGATTTTTTAACCCTAGGCTAAAATAACCAAAAAATCAACTCACATCATTAGTAATCCATATTCCAAACGAATCCTAATTAATGAATTGCACGCTCTCTCAGCAGCAACAATGATTTAGACCACTAAAAAATACACTACTAATAGCACTAATGCATTGGAAATGGTAAAAAAAAAAAGAAACAAGGCATAGAAAGTAGGCGGGGTCCACTATCACATCATTAGTACTCCATCATTAGTACTCCTTGTAGTGCTCCATTTCTAATGATCCCAAGTATTTTTCCTCTCAGCAGCAGCAGCTTAATCAAACTTTTCCAAACAATTGTTAAAAAAAAACTTTTTCCAAAAAATAGAGAGGTGAGAGAGAGCTCTAAAAGTAGAGTATTAATTGAGCTCTATTTATGTGACAATGAAAAAAAAAAATAGAAAAAAAAAAAAAAAAAAAAAAAAGAAGGCCAAAATATCGCATCAATAAGTAAATCACATCCATTATAGTTCATTTAAAACTCTTAATTTAGAACTCCTATCCTCCGTTTGGTTAGGGTTTCAAATTATAGTTTCACCCATTGATTTGAGTATATTGTTTGTTTTGAGCTTTCAAATCATAATTTTATACCCATTTTTCAAAACTCAATTCAAAACATAATTATTACTTTTTAAAACTCATAACCAAACACATAATTCAAAACTCTTTTCAAATCAATATTTTAATTTTTTAAATATTTTAAATATTTTAAAAATATTTTAATTTTGTTAAGATTTTCAGGAGCTTGGCAACAACCATTTCACAGGTAAATTTACGAAACTACCCCCACATGAAAGAGGAGCTAATTTAGCCTCAGCGTCAGAAATATTCAAAGTAAAAAAAAAACCTTTTTCCAAAAAATATCTTTTCCCAGAAAAAACAAAGAAAGTTGAAAAAAAAAATTAATTTTTTTTTTTTGTTTTTTGTTAAAATATTTTATAAGAATAAATTCAAACTCTATTTTATAAAAATATTTTTAATTATTTTAATTTTTTTGTTATATATTTGGTTACGATTTGAGTGTAGAGTTGTAAAAGGAGTATGCAGTTTCGAGTTGTGTGTTTGGTTTTGAGGTTTAAAAATAATTTTTTAATTGAGTTTTGTTTTATGTGTTTGGTTACGATTTGATTGTATAGTTTTTTTTAAGTTTAAAATATTAACATTTTAAATTATTTAAATTTTTTGAATATTTAAATTATTTAAATTTTTACGATTTAAATTTTTTGAATATTTATTTTGAAAAAAAAATTATTTCTTTTGTAGTATTTTCAATTAAAAAATTGATTAATGTTATTTTCTGTTAATAATAAATTTTTTTAATTGAATTTTAAAAAGAGTTTGGTTATTAGTGTTTATCAGAATTTTCAATAGTGTGAACGTAGTGTGTTTTGTTATGAGTTATAACAATTTGAATTAAGTTTTGAAAACCCTTTCTAAAACTCATAACCAAACAAATTTTCTTACTTCACGTGTCAAATCAAACTTTCGAAACTCAATTCAACACTCTCTTCAAAAACCATAACCAAATAAATTTTCTACACTCAAATCATAATTCCACAACTCACAAACTCAAAATACAACTCATACTCTCAAATCATATTTACAAAACTCTACCAAACGTAACCTTAAATATTTTTGAAAAATAAATAAATAAATCAATCAAAAGTTTCTCTAATATGTAACTTGCTGGTCAATTAGGGTTGATTTCAAAATTTATTTTTTTATAAAATAATAAAGAGAATGCAATTGATTTCTGTAGTTCATTTTTTAAAAATGATTTAGGCCTCTAAAAAGGGAACTTTAATAGGGCATTAATTTGTCTTTTTCTTTTCCATATTTTATCTTTTACCTCACTACTCGCTATTTTTTTTTTTTTTTTTTTTTTTTTTTTTTTTTTTTTTTTTTTGGCCAGCTCATTAGAGCTACTGCAGTGCAACTCTAATTAGAGCTTTGCAACACTGCTCTTCATTTTTAGTAGTTTTTTTTAAACTAATAACTCGTTTGGGAAAATGCATTCTGTCTCAGCAGCAGCTTAATCAAACTTTTCCCAACGAATAAATAAATAAATCAATCAAAAGTTTCTTTAAGATGTAACCAGCTGGTCAATTAGGGCTTATTTCAAAATTTATTTTTTTTATAAAATAACAGAGAGAATGCAATTGATTTCTGTAGTGCATTTAGCCTCCGTTTGGGAAGTGGGTTGGCTTTTTGGCTTTTTGGCTTTTTTGGCTATTTTAGCCTGGGCTAAAAAGCTTGGTTTGGGAAGGGCTTTTTGGCTTTTTGGCTTTTTGACTTTTTTTTGTGAGAGAAGAGTGTAATGATTATGGGTTGGATGTGATGTTTTGTTTGTTGTGGCTAAAATAGCCTGTTTTGTCTTTTGTGGCTATTTTAGCCCCAACCCACTTGCCAAACACCACCTTAGTATTTTTTTTAAACTAATAGCTCATTTGGAAAGTTGAGGTTTGGGATTTTTTTTTTAGTTAAAATAGTCAAAAAATAAATATATAAAATATAACATTCAACTCGTAATCATTACCTTATTTCTCTTACAAAAAATCAAAAAAGCTAAAAAATCATTCCCAAACGAGATTTTTTAACCCTAGGCTAAAATAACTAAAAAATCAACCCGCTTCCCAAATGAACCCTAAAATAGAGAGTTACCAAACCAAACCTTAATTGATTATTTGGGGATAAATGGGTCAATTAATTTTGAAAATTTATTAAATATTTTAAAAATATGTTATGAGATATTATTTACATAATATTTTAAATAAATAAAAATTATAATATATAATAAGTGATTTAATTTTTATCTCTTAACTATTTAATAAAAAACTATAATCAGCCAAAACATGTTCCACAAATGAAATGATGAACTTATGTACATCATTCTATTTAATCATCTGAAAAGTGTATTAAATTGTGTGTCGATTAATTCAATAGGCAAAACTATATCCTATAAAGTAAGCAACAAAACAATTTCGTCTCATTTTGCACACCTCTCTCTCAAAATATTTTATAGTGTATGTGAATTTTATTTGCTATTATTATCGTATTGATCATATTAGTATCATATTAGTCATTTCTCTCTTTTTCCTTTCAATCTCTCTCATTCACCTTCGCTGCCAACACTCTCTACCTCCATTCCTCTCCTTCAAAGTCATAAAAATATGTATGTATGATCATGAAAAATTCTCCACATTTGGATTACACATACAATAAAACACTACACATTAATCAAAAGGAAAAAATTTCATAATACATTTCATAATTTTTTTTCATGATACATTTCATAATATTTTTTTCATGATCTTTAATATTATTCATACATATATATATTCATATATATATATATATATATAGACAACAACAATGCAATCAATTAACCTCCAACCAATTACATACATGTAATGATAAATACAATTAATCTCTGACTGATTACATATACATAATGATAAATACAATTAATCTCTAACCAATTACATACATATATATACACAGTGACAATCAATACACTCTAGACGATGCTATCCCGAGGTTGTCATAGGCTATCAATCCAGTTCTAAAAATTAACATTAGAATTGCATGAATTTGGTGAATTTGGGGGGAGTTTTGTAGAATTTTGTTAGATTATTAAATGATTCTAATCCAATCCTACGGTGTCCCGTAGTTCAAGCATTAATTCAAACCAGTGATTTGTATTTCCAAACACTAATGCTGTGTTTGGTTGGAGTTTTTGGGGTGGGATTTGGAAAAGGAATGAGAAATGTAATCCTATTTATGTTTGGTTATAATAAAAAATATATGGGAAAAGAAAGGGGGTGAGAAATAAATAAAGAAATAGGAGACCTTTTAGGACATCAATTCTATTTTATAACCAACACAACCAAACATAGTTGGGATTTGGAATTCTATTAATTCTTTCTCCTTTTCCTTTCATTTCCATTTCCCTTTCCATTTCCCTTCCCAAATCCCCCAACCAAACACAGCGTAAGATAATCAACGAAATAAGCAAGATTGGAGTTTTGTCCTATTATATTGTCCCCCCAAAAAAAAATCCAATCCCGACAAACACAGCCTTAAACTACAACAGATGACCAACAACACATTAATCGATAATGTAAGATTTGTCTCAAATATCTGATACATATCTGATATATTACTGGAAAAAAATTCAACATCCAACAAGAAAAAGTACGGTTCAAAAAAAAAAACAAGAAATAGTACACTTAAGACAAGGGATGGTCTTCATTCAAAGCAACATTGCACAGCAACTTGAAACCTGCAAATTTTTCCAGAAAGAGTTTCGATTAATTCGACCAGATCAGAAACGCTACAAGAAGCACCCAGGAAAAAGAGAATATATGTTATACATTCATATGTTTTAGTGGTGTGTAGAAAACTAGGGGAAACTCAATCAGGAGAGTCAACAATGCGATATTGAGAATGTTGTCGGATTAAAAGATCATTTTGTTATGAGAGCGTTGGACATCCAAAAACAAAAATGAGGTTGTTTCGTTTTTCCAAACAAAAAAATACAGACATTTGAGCTACTCACTGAACAAGAAGGAATTTGACTTTAAGCCACCACAGCAACTGGCAACCTGCATAATCAGAAAGAATGAAACTTAATTAAGCAAGATAAAAGAATAATCTTCATGAAGTTTTTTAAGAAGAAACCAGAAATAACTAAGAAATCACATACGGTAGTGCAAAAACTATTGCTCCATTTGTTTCAACTGAAAATATTTTTTTTATGTTTGGTTGCGTCCTCAAAACTAATGTACTAGTGGTGGTGGAGATCCCTCGATGTTGGTTCAAGTTCTACCAAAAAACGACGTAAGAAGGCTAAAAAGAAATCTCAGGACGATGCTCAGTGAGTAATGTCTTTTATTGATCAAAACATTTTTTTTTACCAATGTCATTATTTCGGTTTATGATCCTCTGGTATAATGTTCCAACTTATATTTGTGCTTTTGAGTTCCACTGTCATGTTTGGCGACTTCTGTGACCCCTGCTGCATCTTCTGTGCTCATTTTGTATTTGCAGAGGTAGTGGTGGAGGTGTGGCAGTGGCAGAGGTGGTGTAGGGGTGGGGTGGTATGGTGTAGAATAGTGTTTGTAATGGTCCAAAAAACGTTTTCCATCTTTCAAAAATGAAAAACAGTTTTCCGTCCAAATAAACTTGTTTTCCGTAATGGAAAACATTTTCCATCATACCAAATGCTACAATTGTGAAACCATATGCAAATGCAAAATGAGCACAGAAGATGCAGCAGGGGTCATAGAAGTCGCTAAACATGACAATGAAACTCAAAAGCTCAAATATAAGTTGGAACATCATACCAAAGGATCATAAACCGAAATAATGACCTTGGTAAAAAAAAATGTTTTGATCAATAAAAGACATTACTCACTGAGCATCGTCCCGAGATTTCTTTTTAGCCTTCTTACGTCGTTTTTTGGTAGAACTTGAACCAACATCCAGGGGTTGTTCGAGGGCTTGCGCTGGAGACACAAAAACAATAGTTCCTGTAGTGCTCTCTGCCACAGGATTAATGCCACTCTGGGTGGAGTCTCCTTCATTAACCTTCACTATAGACTTGATGATCTCAGTGATGACAGTTCTTGAGTCGGAAGTATCTGCACAATAGTGTCAGCAAGTCAATCACTCAACTTGGACTATATCGACTTATATGAAAAGAGATTATGTTGGCCTATCTCCAGGGAATTTTTGGTAGAACTTGAACCAACATCCAGGGGTTGTTCGAGGGCTTGAGCTGGAGACACAAAAACAATAGTTCCTGTAGTGCTCTCTGCCACAGGATTAATACCACTCTGGGTGGAGTCTCCTTCATTAACCTTCACTTTAGACTTGATGATCTCAGTGATGACAGTTCTTGAGTCGGAAGTATCTGCACAATAGTGTCAGCAAGTCAATCACTCAACTTCGACTATATCGACTTATATGAAAAGAGATTATGTTGGCCTATCTCCAGGGAAGTGATATACAATCCAGTCTTGCCCTAAAAATTTTAGTTTAGTTATGCTCACCCTTCTCACCCAAAAGGGAGAAAAGAAAATAAACAAATATAAACAAATACCAATAAATGTATCATGTATGTAGTCCATTCAAGAAAAAAAGGAGTAAAAATCGAGGCACTGTTGAGGGAATTAATATTTACTTCTCTTAGAATTAAACCATGTTCCTTTTTTCCTCAAGAAATTTCTCAGGAAACATTGTGCAAGAGTTATTGCACTATTTTGACATCTTCAAAGGCTTCCTTACCACAGTAATATTAAGATGGCATTGTGGCACATTAAGTTGTCGCTTTGTTGAATAATGTGTATATAACTATACATATAATATATATATATAGAGAGAGAGAGAGAGAGTCATTGATGTAACTACAGTTATATTTTAAAATATATATATATATATTTTTTGGCTTTTTTAGTAAAAAATATTTTTTTAAAAAATACTCTTCATTGATGTAGGGGTGAAATATCAATAAATCTCAAAATATGATATTATGAACGATTTAGTCATCCCATTCTTCTTATAAACCCAAAGATCCTCTTAAAGTGAAAATTACATAAAAAAATAATCACTTACATGTTCGGGTTTAATTTTTTAGAGATAAAAGTAATTTTCTCAAAATATAAAATTACACATTTGGGCAATTTGCACTATAAAAGTTTTGAATTTTTTCTCATTCTAGAACAAATCACACATTACGAACAAAAACCTAAACTCTAATGTAACACTTCAATGCAACACACTAAAAAAATCATTGGTGTACTTTTCTCAAATGTAACACTCCAATGTTACATACTCCTAAAAAAACTCCTTAGTGTACTTTTTTTTAAATGCAACACTCATAGTTTGAAATTATATATTTGTTCAAAACTTACTAAGAAATATTTGTACTCCTTAAAAACCACACAGACCAATTCTTATTAAACAACAGACCAAATATAACCGATTTAGTCCAGTTCAATTGATTTTTTTCGATTTTTCTTACATCCCTAACATTGTGAGTCAAGTTATAATTGATTTTTATTTATATTTCTTATTTGGTCGTAAATTGACTTTGAAAGTCAAAATAATTTACTAATTTCCTTTTTTTAATTCTAGTTGGTTTAGAAAGTCTCCTCCTAACTCTATATAAAGCCATGTAATACTTATAATTTAATAGAGTTAATATTTTCTAAAATTTTCTGAGTTTTGAAATCTCTTTTGGGTTTATATAATGCAACCCTACCCTAGGTGTGATGCCTAAGATTTTTAGAAGTGATTCTTAAAATATCTTCTTTTTTTCTTTCTTTCTTTGTTACTTCAAAAGTCCAAATACTTTCACAACCCTCCAAAATAGTGCCATAATCTTATCTTTTCATAATCAAACTCTTACCCCTTTATTACCCTAAACCGTTTAAACCCCTATGTGCTTATTGCAAATTTCAGCCATAAAAACCAATTAAAATCAGCCCCAAAAGCACACAGTCACTGCTGTCCTTACCCATTCTACATCAGGATTCTATGTAAGTTAATCAATTAGGTGAACCAAAAAACAAATAAACAAATAACTGATATATAAAGCTAATATGTAAACAGAAGTATGCACAATACTGTACTAAAATATACATATACAAAGAGAAAGATAAGCTCACAGATAGACAATCCATATATCTATGTATTCTGAGCAATGATTTTGTATGTAAGGGCAGAAGGGATAATACCCAAAATTGACAGGATAACTTTCCATGCTGCCAACTGTTCAGCCTCCTTGTTTTTGCCTGCCTCGCCAGTGTAAGTAACACTATTGAATACCAAAGCAGATACACGAAGTGGCAGCAACCCCACTGACCGAGTTGTGTTGTAAGTGGGTTTCTCCAGATGCATCTTGACTGCATATTCAGAGAGGATAGACTTGCAAAAGACTGGAAATTCATGGAGGATAGACTTGCAAAAGACTGTTTCCTGGATAAATGACAAGAGAAGGAGGAAAAAAAAAAAGGAGGAAAATGATTCAAATAGTGGCTAAAAAAGAAGAAAGAAAGAAGAAGAAACTTGAACGCCATAAAAATGAAAAATATAGCCCCAGTCAGTGAAAAATATCTGATTGATTCCCCTGAAAAATATAGCGCCAAGTCTTCCTCTAGCACCAATCAATACATTATAAATTACACATCTCAAGTTCCATTCATTCCTTGAGCTATTACAGGTAAAAAAATATTACAAATTCAAATAAAGAAGCAATACAGATCATATTTGAAGTTTTGTTACAATCATAGAACCAAACAGGAGCTAGCTATAATTGTAAACATCAGAATTAAGCAACAAAATTCTAAGAGACTACAATCAGCTACTTATCTCAACATTTACAAATATTCTATCTTACTAGTAGGAAACTTGGTAAGACTTTTTCTTTTCTTTTTTTTTGAATAAGTAATAATGTTCTCAAGACAATATTGGCAGCAACAAAACAAAAAAATGGGGGCATAGGTATGTCCCTCCAAGTCCCATGCCACTTGGTGAATAAAGAAACTACTTTTTTGATGAATAAAAAGTGAATAGAGAAACTACACAATTGGATAGGGAAGGTGAGTAAATTATGCGACTTTTTACAGTAGACAAAACTTTTTTCTCAAAGCACCCGGAAGTAAGAGTGAACTCACTCCACATTTCAAGGCTAACACCTTGTAAGGCAGTGTCCAATCTGTAAAGCAAGAACATATTCCTTAGATTGATACATTCAGGCCATGTTTGTTTGGACGGACTGGATTAGCATTTTCATGATTAATAGTCCTAGGACTACGAATCCATTAGATTATGAATCCTATCTTAACTAATAGTCAAGTTTAAAATAATTAGTCCGTACTTCAATTGTTTAACCAAACATTGGATTAATAATTTTATTGGACTATTAATCCAATCCCAAGCTCATGTCCACCCAAACAAACATGGCCTCAGGGTACTGTTTATCTCACCCAGAACAGCCCTTGCGCTTTCATTATTTCTTGTTTAATTACTCCCAAACCCTCGCCACTTTAATATCGTGCTGCAGCCCTTAGAACACGTGTATTTACTAACCATTCAGCCACAAAAATCAATAGCAATAGCCCATAAATGCTGCTCTGTATACTTTGAGGAGTCATTTTAGGAAGAATGGTTGGAAATGCTCTAATGGGAGGGAGATCTGAGGAGAGAGCAGGAGATTTGGGTTGGGTGTTTGGGGAGAGAGAAAATGAGGAGGGATTTTTCTAGGGATTTTGGGGGAGCGTGTGAGAAAGAGAGGAGAGAGAGAGACAGCTAAATCACAGCTGAAAGGCCACCACCACCAAATTCTATCACTTTTTTCTCTCTTTCAAACTTTCTCAGGTCGTCATTTTCTTTCCTTTTATGAGATAGAAAATTAAGATTTCGTTTCGTAAATTTTTTAAGTTATAGTTCCACTCGTTGATTTGAGTGTAATATTTATTTTGAATTTTCAAATTATAATTCTACATTCATTTTTCAAAACTCAATTCAAAACATAATTATTACTTTTTAAAATTCATAACCAAACACATAACTCAAAATTCTTTTCAAAACTCAATTCAAATCAATATTTTAATTTTTTAAATATTTTAAATATTTAAATATTTTAAAAATATTTTAATTTTGTTAAGATTTTAAAATTTTAAATATGTTACGATTTTTTTAATTTTTTTGAATATTTTAAAATATTTTAATTTTTAAATATTACGATTTTAATTTTTTAAATTTTAAAATATTTTATAAAAATAAATTCAAACTCTATTTTATAAAAATATTTTTAAATATTTTAATTTTTTTGTTATGTATTTGATTACGATTTGAGTGTTGAGTTGTGAAAGGAGAAAGATCGCAAGTCAAACAAGAAAAGGCTGGAGAAAGAAACCAGACCACTCGAAAAGGCTATGTTCTGCCTACAAGTAGTTGAACCTAGAACTTGAGGATATGCATGTAGAAGGTGATTCAGCCATTTATCATCGGATTATCAGATGTAAAAAGAACAATAATGAGACTATCAAAGACGATGACACGTGAATAAACCAATAATAAATAGACATACTAGGTCCCAGGGTGAGGGCAAACCCAGCAGCACCCAAAAGAGAAGCAGTCATGGCTTTGTTGTTCTTGAATATACTGTAAATGATGGTTTTTGAGGAATGGGTTCGTTGAATTGGGTGAGAAACAATACCAATCTCATTGAATTTGTGAAGAGGAAAGGGTCTTTGAGGAGCCAGTAAAGGTCGCTGCTGCCATGACTCTGAGTGAGGTGTGTGTGTGTGTGTGTGTGTGTGTGTGTGTGTGTGTCAAGCAATGACCCCAATACAATTTGAGGACCCATTTCTCCATCAAATACACACCATAAATAAATAAATAAAAGTGATTAAAAAGCTTTTATATATATATTAAAAATAAAAGATAAAAATTAGAGAAAATCACAACTACATTACTTAAAATTTATTTAAAATACGATTTGATTCCTATTATTTTAAAATTATTCTTTGGAATTGATAGAAAATGATTCTATTTTTCTCTTATAATAGTTTTCTTTTCAAAATTAATGTTTATAATAATTTTTTTAAAAAAAATTAGTTAAATTAGTTTGATTGGTTAATTAAAATGAAGAGTATGATTGGAATGTACACTAACTAAACTAGATAGACAAAATAGAGAAAGTAATTTTTTATTTAAATTATTTAAATATTTATGATTTAAATTTTTTGAATATTTATTTTGAAAAAAATTGTTTCCTTTGTAGTATTTTCAATTAAAAAATTGATTAATGTTATTTTCTATTAATAACAAATTTTTTTAATTGAATTTTAAAAAGAGTTTGGTTATGAGTGTTGATCGGAATTTTCAATAGTGTGAAAGTAGTGTGTTTTGTTATGAGTTATAACAATTTGAATTAAGTTTTGAAAACTCTTTCCAAAACTCATAACCAAATATTTTAATTTTTTACTTATTAATTTATTTAAATTATTTAAATATTTATGATTTAAATTTTTTGAATATTTATTTTGAAAAAAATTTGTTTCCTTTGTAGTATTTTCAATTAAAAAATTGATTAATTTTATTTTCTGTTAATAATAAATTTTTTTAATTGAATTTTAAAAAGAGGTTGGTTATGAGTGTTGATCGGAATTTTCAATAGTGTGAAAGTAGTGGGTTTTGTTATGAGTTATAACAATTTGAATTAAGTTTTGAAAACTCTTTCCAAAACTCATAACCAAACAAATTTTCTTACTTCACATGTCATGTCAAATCAAACTTTCAAAACTCAATTCCACACTCATTTTAACATTCTATTCAAAAATCATAACCAAACAAATTTTTTACACTCAGATCATAATTTCAAAACACACAAACTCAAAATACAACTCATATTCTCAAATTTTAGTTAGAAAGTCTTACCAAACGGAGCCTAAGGCTTTGTTGAAATTTAATTCTGCCGCTTAATTTGAGTGTATTGTTTGGTTATAACTTTAGAAAATTAATTTCACATCCACTTTTCAAAATACTTATTTTTTAATATTATATGTCACATCATTTAATTCAAAATCTTTTTAAAATTCATAACCAAACAAATTTTTCACACTCAAATCATAATTTTAAAACTCACAAATTCAATATATACTCAAATCATAATTTTAAAATTTTACCAAACACAAGCTAAACTTTTTTTTTATACTACTGTTTCAAACCATTCCAATTCAACGATCCCGAGTTAAAGCTTAGAACAAAAACTGAAATAAAAAATAATTGCCGAAATAATAATTAATTCATATTTATTAGTATTTAATGACCACCTAATTTATTAACAACGTGGATTTTTAGCCGCTAGTCGGGGACGGCATTGCACCGGCTACACGGGTTCGGCCGGTTACCAGTTGCTAATTTCAAATTTTTTTCTTTTGATTGAGAGGTAAGAATCGTTTATTTTTAAAAACTTGTTAAAAGTTAATTTTCAAATTTTTTTAAATTATATTATTTTTATGTTTTTTTATAAACCCTAACAAGATCCACGACGGTGGAACCCCCAAAATCAATGGAAAAAATTTATATTGATTAAGAAATTTTTTTTCTATTTCATTACGAGGTTTCTTAACCTATTTCCGAACAAATTCTCAAATTTTGGTCATATATTCGGGAGTTCAGTCCTAAAAAAATGACGAACAGTTTTTATTATTTTTGATATTTTTTTTCAAGAAACTTACTCTTATAAGGCTAATCTCCTCTGAGATAATAACACCATCGAAAACTATGAATCTCTTCTAAGTTTCTATTTTTGTTAAATAAAATCAATAAAAATAAATAAATATTTTAATAATTAAACTCAATGAAAATGGTATTTTACATATTTTATGTAACCTACATTGAGTTTAATTATTCAAATACTTTTTTTTTCATTAGTTTTATTTAACAATAATAGACTAATAATTTAGATTGGAAACAAATTAAAAAATTATGTTTTAAATTGACAAAATTCAAAATTCAAAATTTCTTTCGTTACATGACTAAAACCTTAGTTGTTCCTTTTTTTCTTCTTTTTTAAAATTGTCCCAAATAATAATCTAACAAATTTCAAAACACTAGAATAAAATACAACTAATTAGTGGAATTGAGACACATGTTAACCTGAGTCACAAGTAATATCGTATATATATAATTCTTAAGAATAAGTTCAACAAATATTTTTAAATATTGTTAACATGTCTTCCGACAAGACTTTTAACAAACGAATCGAATAGTATTTGAATTAAAAATATTATGTAAATTACATTCACCTCTTTTGAGATTTAAAAAATATATATAATAAGTTCTCAAATCTGATCTAATTATACTGAGTTTTTTTAAGGTTTTAGTTCAACTAATATTTGGCTTCTTTTTTATCATAAATTTGTTACTCGTATAAATAAAAATAATAATGTAGTCATTACTTTTATATTGAAATATATGTTTTATATTGTGTATCGTTGTGTTTTCATATCATTTGTATTAGTTTTGGTCTATTTAATTTTATTAAAAAATATGTCAATATAATTATATCAAAATTATACAACTTTCTGTATATATTCAAATTTTAAAAGAGATCAGTATAATTTATCTTAAAATATTTATTTTAAAATCACTTAATTAAATGTGATTCATATCTCTATATTAATAATTGCTACAGAGTTGCTTAGAAGTTTGGAGAAACAACAAATTGGTTGAAGGTTGAAGTCTAAAAAAATAAAAAAATCAGATTAATAGTAAAATTTATGAATTTTAATGAAAAATTCATAATTTTTCATATGTAATTATTTTTAAAAATTTACCATGATTTGTAATTTTACCACTCATTAGATTTTGACTTCTTTTTCGACGGCCTTTGACTTACAAAACAACCATCCAATTTGCCATCAACCACATTTCCACACAATTGGGCACATCTTGGTGATAAGGTGGGGACTTTAGTCCCATATCTGAAATGTTTGTATTTCCTTTGAAGACTCGCCCGCCACTCAACTACAATCAGCTGGCTATAAAATTATTGGAAAAATTATCATATTTTTTCATATGTAATTAATTTTAAAAAATTACATTGATTTGTAATTTTTCCAAGAAGTTTCGCTTTCATTTTCTAAAAATACTAATCATAGTTATTTTGAAAAGTTGATTAAAAGTTGATTTTTTTACTTTTTTTTTTTTTTACTTTTTTCAAAAAATGTGTAAAAAAATAAAAAGATAATATGACCTAAAATAAATTAAAAGTCAAAATTATTTTGCTTTTAACTATGTTTTCAAATTAACGCTCAGTAGATTTTGACTTTTCTTTCAACAGACTTTGACTTAAAAAGCAACCACCTTAATTAGCCATCGACCGCATTTCCACGTATGAACCTGTACATATTGACTCCTTCAACTATGAAAATTATACAAATACACTTCTTTTGGAGGTGGTCTGGAGGGGGTGAAAGTGTTATATTTTATAGTTAATGAGATCAATATGTACGAATTCATTGATGAGGGAAGACAAAGTAATATTGTTAATAGTTGATGGGGTTTTGGTGTAATTAACCCATTTTATTATAAAAACCAAATACTAACATATGTGTATTCCCCAATTTAATAACTAAATGAATCAATAAATGATTCGTGTGAGTTAGGCATATACTAAGGTGGTGTTTGATAAAGCTGAAAACTAAAAATTAAATATTGAAAACTAAATACTGATTTTTTTAAATTGAAAAGCTATTTGATAAAAATTTAAATGCTAATTTAAAAATAAGTTATTTGATATGTATGAGATTAAATTTAAAATTTATTCTTTTAAAATTATATATTTCAATTTTTATATTGTTG